TGAGAGTTAACGATAAGCTTGCTAACCGAAATGAGGTTAAACTTGAATGAAGGGACACAGAGGACTTGATGTAAGACAAATGAAGGAGATAATGCAACTTGGCCACTATGAGTAACTATTGCTTTATGACCATTTGGTAGCTGTATCGTTAGGTTTTCAACGAAGTTGATATGAACTAAAGTTTTGAATGGAACAAGTTATATGATCAGCTGCACTCGTGTCAATGATCCAAATGCCGAATGAAAAGGAATAATAGAGGTAGAATGAGTAGACATAGCGAGTAACTAGACCTGCTAGATTGGAGATGGGTTGTGTATGGTTGATGTTTAAAGGTTGAGAGGTTAAAGCTTGCGAATCCCGAGCATTCAAAAGAGTCATGAGCCCGGTGACTTGCTCTTGAGTGAAAGCAATATTTGGCAATGTAACACGCCCGGTTAAGACAAGCATTGTGACCGGAGACATCCTTAGCAGTAATAGAACCTCCTTGTTCCGATATAACATTATTGATGCGCTTAGAAGAACTATCACCATTGTGACCAAAAGTGAACTTGGAAGTATGTCCGGAACCTCCAAGTGTTGAAGTTCTTGTTCCCGGTGAACTTGAAATCCGGAGGGAATCCTATTAGTCGATAGCACGTATCTTTGCTATGACCTAGTTTCCCACGAGTATGAACAAACATGTTCCGATTGCTTCATGTTACCATGAAATATGGCCATAGCAGAAGCGAAAGATTCATTGAGAGGAGATTATTGCTGCACCTGCATTGATCTATGGGATTCCTCTCGCATAGCCAAGTTATATACCTCATCCAAACTAGGGAATGGCTTCATCACCAACACTTGAGACCTTAGATGAGAGAAAGATTTGTTCAATCCATTGAGGAATTTGAACACATAATCCTTTTCATATAGCTTCATAAATTTATCAAAGCATTCCGCATTGCACTCTCCACGACCATAATGAGGCAATGGCCTAAAATTTCTTAATTCCTCCCATATTCCATTTAACTCTATGAAATATGTGTTAAATGACCTAGATCCATGTGTTATTGAACACAGAGACCACTCGTAAGTTGTAGATTCTTGATTCATCCGGTTGGGAAAAATGTTTCTTCAAAACTTCCTAAATCTTTGTAGCGAGAATTCATATAAAAAACCGTTGCAGCCTACCGAAGGTGACATTGATCGCAGTAGCCGAGCTACTATCGGACTATTGCAACAATTCCAAGAATTAACAAGCACATTATCGACTTCGAGCTTCGAAATAGATCCATCCACAAACCCTAACTTGTTGCGAATAGAGAGAGCTAAAGTAAATGACTCGCTTCAAGTTGCATAGTTCTCCGTGGTGAGTTCTAGAGTAACCACAAAAGAACCGTGATGATCCGAATGATGAATGAAGTATGGAGAAGAAGCTTCATCGGATAATGACTCTACGTGCCATGGCATATTAGACGAAATCTTCGTAAAGGATAATCAATCGCGAACTCGCCAAGGAAGTAAAAAGTGAGATCGAGTTGAAGAATGAGAGGAGATGATCAAACCTTAGGTTCGATAGGCTATGATACCATGTAGAAAACTAAGTAAACAAAGAAAAGATGTAGAGAAGCAAACAGAGTAGAGACAGAGAGAGAGGAGAGGGGGAAACGAAAGAGGGAAAAATGATTTCAAAATTTCATTAGGTAATAAAAAACTTTGTTACATTGACATTTATACCCATGCTAACTCGCCTATAATAACAAACTTAACAAACTCAACAAAAAATAATAGAGATTTAACAAACTCATAACCTTGCATTCTAATAAATAAGAATATATATTTTTTTTAAAAAACTCATCTTAACTCGTTAAATTTTAAACTTGAACTTCGCTTCTCGTCATTAAATTTGGAAATCGTAAACATGTCTTTTCTTATATCAAATTTCTTAAGAAATATGTCTCCTTATTTGTTAGTTCTCAAATCCAATCATTGCAGCTTATGTGAAAAATTCCTAGATAGCATACCACGGTGTCGATTCGGATTTTGGCTCTATTTGAGTTTTTTCAACAATTGATGAGAGAGATTCCTTTTTCGGCTTACGAGCTGAAATTTTGTTCTCTCGTTTGGTTTTTTCTCGGCTTGAGTGAAATGGGTTTTTGCTTTTATAGCTTAAATTGAACGATCTATTTTTTTTTTTTTTGAAATTCGAGCGACTTTAGTCAAAGATCCTAGCGTCTTGTTAACCGTGTAATCTGGATGGTTCCCTATTTGGTAAGCTAAATCTATTACACTTCATGGGTGGATTAGGAATATACGTGAGATTTTGAGGGTGAAAAGTCACTTCACCGATTTCTTATCTCTTTCAAATAACAAGAGTTGCATACTCAAGGTATATTGTACAAATATATTCATATCATGGGAATGATGATGTATGGCAGCATTTGGAGGTATATAATCTCAAGTTACACCAAGTATCAAGCTTGTTATTCTTTGTTGCTTTGGTGTTTGATTTTACTTGATATGAAATTACTCAAATTTTTCTCGCTACTGATTGATACTTATGTTGGTGGAGTAAATGATCTTACATTCTCAACTCCGAATAATCTCAAGTTACACAAGAATCATTTTTCTTTACTTTGATAAGAAATAAGTTTCAAGAATTTGTTGTTTCGTTTTAAAATTAAAGATGGTAGAAATTGTTATTCGATTGATTTGTATATCTAAAATTATAAGAATATATAAGGGCAATATAATCAAATTTGAAAAGTTTTAAAATCTTGCAACCGAAGTCGTTAATAAAAAAGTAATAAGTTAAAAATTTTAACTTATCTAATTAAGTAGATTTTGACTCGAACTTAAATTTTTAATATGAGATTATTTAGGTTATCAAACAAACTTTTTATATTAAGTATTACAACTTAATTTATTAAGTTACTTAAATAGGTTATCAAACACCTCCTAATAGTTATATCTCGTTAGAATCCAACGCTTATGATCGTTGGAATCAACGATCAAGTATGTTATGCAAGGGTATCGTAATCTATAAATAGGGGACCGCCGCACAGGATAAAGTCAATTAATTTTTCTCTCGCAATCCTCTTATCCTCTCAAAATTCTTTTTTTTTCTTCTAAAATTCTACAACTTTAAAAGATATTCTCTTGAAGGAATTTCAAGAGTGCTACTTACGATTACTTGTGTGCAAAATTATATCCTAGAAGTGAATTGCTAAAATCCCCGCAACATTATAGTAGGGGTAATAATTACCTTAAGGATAATGTAGGATATTTTTCTACACGTAATTAAGCATAACATAATTTCGTTCTTCTTCAATTTCATTTTGACATTTTCCAACATGTATCAACAAAACAAAATCCTCATTTGATGTTGAGAGGACCATTTGATGATTAAGGTGGCATGGAGAGATATGTTTAGTTCAAGTAGGATAATATATCTTTTGACGATTTTGATTAGGATATACTTAACAATGTGTTTTATTATCTTTAAAAAAGATAAGAGTACTATTTTGTATGTAATGTGAAGAGTGTAGAATACAAATTTAACCTTTTTATATTGATGCAGATGATTATGTATGTTAACTTTTTTATATTGATGAGAATAATCAACTTGTTTGAAGTAGAGTACATATTCGTTTTTCTCTTAAAGGCAAAAGAATATTTTTGTTTATTGTGTAACGGTTTGTGACTGAATTTTTTACCAATTGAAGATCCTTTAAGATAAATACTTTGTGGGAATCGGTGTAAATACTATTATTTCTAAAGGTTGGTGTCTAAGACAATGCCTTTTATTTAATGTCTGTTTTTTATTTTTCTTTCCAGTGAGAGAGTGAACCAAACTAGAAAATTGGTGATAAGCTTGGTGGACGGGTGTTCTCAATTGTGGAAGTCTTTTCAGTAATAGGCATATTTCGAGTAAGTAGGTCCTTACTGAAATTAGTTTAGTGAGAAACACGTATAGGATCACTTTTTTTTTTTTTTTCAAGTATATCACATAAATAAAATTTAAAGATAAAAAAAAAAATCACAATTCTTAATAAAAATAACAAAGTATGCTCTTCACGCTATTATCTAGAAGTTCGAAATAAAAAGAAAAAGAAAAAGAAAAAAAAAACTTTTTTTTCCCGAATATGTCAATCCATATATAAATGATACTTCATACTTAAACATGATTACAAAACAACTTAATTTCATTCAAAAAAGATAATCTAAAATAATCGTGATTGTTAAAACAAACAAACAAATAAATAACGCGTTTATAGCCCCATCTTTAATTTTAGCGTATGCCTTCAAATGTCTTAATATATATAATTGATTTGGTTTATAATAATAATAAATAAAGTATTTACAGGCCCATTTTTTATTTTACATATATGTTCAAATGTCTTAAGCCTTTCTCAATAAACTATCTCAATTTAAAAATTTAAACACTTGGATCAAATCTCAGGATATATAATTAATATTATTGATCTTATCTCTTAATTTCTTGTACCCTAGCTAAATATTGTCAGTAAATTTTCAACTTTTTGCTAAGTAAATTTAATTATCAACCAAATAAGCTACATATGAACCATTCTCCAATGCCCTATATTTGTTTGTTAGACATTATACCGATTTTTTTTTTTGAAAAGAATTAGTTTGTGCGTAAATCGAAATTAAATCTGTTATAATAATTTTAAAGGCAAACTCCTTGCATCCACTTGATATATTTAAAAAAATTTAATATTTTTTTTTCAGTATTCACGTCGAAGTTTAAACCTAAAAAGTTAAAGAAGAGAATTGCTGTATAAATCTTCAAAGTCCCTTTAAGTGCATACTCCATAGCACATTCAATGCACTTCAACTGTTTCCAGCTCTTTAACTTTTTTCATCTACCATGCTTTGCTTTAAGTACCAACCACTTACACGCACAAAGACAACATATTTTTTCGAGCAACAAAGAGTATAGCTAGTAGCTAGACAAGCACAGAGAGAGAGAGAGAGAGAGAGAGAGAGAGAGAGAGGTAATGGTGAAGGAAGAGAAGATTCTTGGCATCAGTGATGAGTTACAGAAGATCTTGGATTCGAATATGGACACAGCGTCAGAGAGACGGAGAGCTCGTGAGGCTTTCAAGGAGATTCAGCTTGGAATTGATCATTGCTTAATGAAGGTTGTTTTGTAGTTTTCTTTTGGAGATGTGGGGTGTGTTTAATTGCGTTGGATAGATAATGACTTCGATGATTATAATAATGTGTTTGATCAAAATTATTGCATGTATGACCTGAGGAAGCTCTATTTGACATGCAAGTTTCTTTCTTTTACGAACATTACTTGTTCGCATTTAAAGATTTTGGTTGTAATGCTAATTAAGTCGTTGATGATTAGAAAGGAGCATTTTGTTTAAGACACTCATAATCCAAAATGAGGTAGCAGGTTATCTACTTTATATATCATTAGAGATCTATTGTTAGGTCTTAATCGGCTTTAAGACTTTGAACTTGTAGTTAGTTTGAATTTGTTTTTTGTGTTGCAGGTACCAAAAGAAGGGCTGAAGATAGAAGAGGTACACTGTCTTTGCCATTTCTGGCGTCTTGGGGGATGCTTTTTGTGCATGATAATTCTAATTAACTCCCTCAAGTGGGCCTCTTTCTAGTGACAAGTTATTCATGCTTAATTTTCATTGATCGTCCGTTAACATAGCTTCTTCTTTTTCTCCTTTTTTTTTCTTCTCCTCTTGGGTCGAATCTTGTTTCATGGAGAAAGGATCAGTGTATAGGAAACTACGCACTGTTATGTTTCATTTTATATCTAAGTAAATTATTAATTAATCCCTGTGATTTCGACAAATGAATTAATTAATTTTTCTTGTTTCAAAAACCGATTTATTTATTTATTTTTATTAAAAAAAAAACAAAGAGAATACTATGTAGAATTTTATTAAATCAAAATAAAAAATACAAGAAGAGAACAATCCAGTCTAATCCCATAACATAGTAGAGGAAACAAAAAAGTCTTACCCCATAAACAAATAATAGTACAAATGATGTTATTTTCTATATATTCGTAACTATCCATTCTATCCTATTTAATTGCATTCTAAATATGTCTAGTCATATTCATTTTGAAAGTAGATGAATTCTTCATTACTCAACAACTGCTAAAAGAAACTTTGAGATCTTCTAGCTAGCTATTTCCATCTTGTTATTGACAAGTACACAATTTTATCCAAGGGCAAACGTTATTTAGTTTAAATAAAAAGAATTGAACTGAAATATTAATTTTGAATCGTTTTTAACTCAAAAAAAAAAAAAAATCCATTTTTTTTTTGTTTTCAATTTCAGTTTAATTTTTTAAAATTGTTGGTTTGGTTTAAATTGAAAACTGACCTTTTTTGAATTTTTTTCTAATTTCATTTAAAATCTAAAATAATGTTAATAAACTACAAAATCAATACTTTATCATTATTATTGATATACGATGAATTAATAATTTTTTTTGGCCTATTTATGTTATTTAAAAAATTAAAAAAAATTGATTTAAATTAAAAAAAATGAAACCAAAAACCGAAATTTTTGCTTTTAAAGCGAAGAACTAGATAGTAATTAGGTTTGGATTGAGTTTTATTTTTATAAATTTGGCTAACCAAAAATCTAATCGAAAAACAAAACCATCACCCCCTAAATTTTTCTATCCCTATAAATAAGTTTGTTATTTATGATGAACATTCTTTATAATTATAAATAGATATTAGACTTCTTGTTCTTGTTTTCCCGATCCTTTTCTTCCATTTAGTGCTTAAATTTAGCTTTTCAATACAGAGATTAAATTCTAACTTGCTCAGTGGTGTCATAAATTAGTAGTTGTCAATGACGAAGGATTTGCCTATTATAAGCCCAATGGCATACAGCATAACTTTTAACTGATGAATTACTGTGCACTTCAGACAAGATGATCTTTAGATTTTTACTTATTGGATTATTTTCTGCTTGAGATGGCAGTCATATGAAGTTAATTCTAGAGGATTGGAAATTTTTTCGAAAAGCTGGCTTCCAGCGAACTCTCTTCCCAAGGCATTGGTTTACTGTTGTCATGGTTATGGAGAAACTTGCACTTTTTTCTTTGAAGGTATGCAAATTGAGTAAAAGTTTAACGGCGAGCAATTTTTTAAAAATGGAACTTAATTTACCTATGGAGTTGCCCACAGGAGTTGCAAGAAAATTGGCTTCTTCTGGATATGGAGTTTTTGCAATGGATTATCCAGGGTTTGGCCTTTCAGATGGTCTTCACGGCTATATTCCAAGCTTTGATAAGCTTGTCAATGATGTTGCTGAACATTACTCCAAAATCAAAGGTTTATTTATCCTTATTGGACTGTAATCTGATGTTTCCACAGAAACTTGTAAATAGTAAATGACTTTCGTTAAGGGACGTAGAACCAAGACTCCATACGTGCAATTATGATTCTGATTTCTGAACATCGTTTGATTTGGTTGAAGGGAACCCGAAGTTCCGTAATCTTCCAAGCTACCTGCTTGGACAGTCTTTGGGTGGAGCAGTAGTCCTGAAGGTGCACTTGAAACAACCAAATGAATGGAATGGTGCCATTCTTGTCGCTCCTATGTTCAAAGTATCCTCCTGAGATTTATTTTGTTAGAAATCTTGCATTTGTGATTCGCGCTTATGCTTAGCTGAATAGCGTTTTCTTTAGTTCGCAGATAACATGATTCCACCATGGTTAGTGAAGCAAATTCTGATTGGTGTAGCTCATGTTTTTCCGAAGTTGAAAATAGTTCCGCACCAGGATATTGCCAAGATGGCATTCAGAGACTTCAAAAAGCTAGAGCTGGTTTTTCTGTTTCCTTTTTCCTAGTTTGTCTATTTTCCTTTACCTTGAGACCTCTCTGCAGCAGCTACTAACACAATTCATGTGGTGAAAATATCCATTTTCTCTTCAAATGCAGGCAAAGTATAATGTTATTGCTTACAAGGATACAGCACGCCTCGGGACGGCTTTAGAGTGTCTGAGAACCACCCAAGAGCTCGAGCAGCGATTAGAAGAGGCATGTTGATCCCCTGTTTCTCTTTCATTGCCTTAAGTGAGACTAGTATTAAATGCATTGATGCTTCATGAAGATTGTTTGAGAGCTTCCAACTTGGTGTAACGTGTTCGAAAACTATTTAGAAGCCAATAATTACATGAAATTTCCAAGAAATGCAGTTCTGATTATGCAAAATTCTTTCTTACTTGAATTAGTCTTTTATGATGATTATAGTTTGATCCGAAATGGCAACATTTTGCAGGTTTCTCTGCCTTTACTAATCCTGCATGGAGAAGCTGATATAGTAACTGATCCATCATTAAGCAAGGCATTGTATCAGAATGCAAATAGCTCAGACAAGAAGCTCAAGCTTTATAAAGATGCTTCTCATGCTCTTCTTGAAGGTGAGACAGATGAGATGATTTTCCGAGTACTCGACGACATTATCTCCTGGCTTGATGAACACAGCATAAAATTTAAAGCATGATGTAGTTACAAAATCCATTCCCACAAGGGCATTTCTTATTCCCAAAATTTTTACTAAGCAGCCTTCCTCGGTTGCCATGATTCGTAAAGTACTGTGTGTCACATTTCAAAACACTGGATTGATTTGTGCAATAAAGCTTTTCTCAACAGAGGTTGTGGTCATACTATGTTCATTCTTCAATGATTTTGGTAATATTCAAAATTTAGTTTCAATGATTAATGCTATATATATAGCAGGTTTTCCATAGAAGGTTTTTGTTTGGTGTACAAGACTTGGTTGCCTGCATTACTTTGGACTAAAGATTTGAAAAATATGATACCATCGTCCCAAAACTGTTAAGGATATATATGCTGATAGCTAATTTACAAATTCAAATAGGTGAATCATAACATTTAAATTCAAATCATAGTTGTTATATCTTATCCTTGTAAACTTTCTGCATTGTATTTACTGTAAATGTATCTAATAGAAACATTCAATTCACAAAGCATATCAACCTCTACGCATATTGACCTATTTATGGTATCAAAGCCACATTAATTAAAAGCTCCCCTAAATCGATCCATGGCCACCTCCATTCTTGACACTCAAATCATGTCCTTTAATGCTCCCTCACACCTTCCCACTAAATCCAACATATCTAAGAGCCTATTGAACTACACACATAAGTTTAAACATTTACACAATATAAGAAAAGCAAAGATTATGAAAAATGTTTCTAATTTTGAAAGTTTTCTATTTTGGAAAAAGCTTTTGAAAATGGAACGTTTCCTGTTTTGGAAAAATTTTTCTAAAATGAAAAGTTTTTTGTTTTGAAAAATTAGTTTCCTAAAATGGAAAGATGGTTTCTTATTTTACAAATCAGTTTCTTAATTTCAAAGTTAGTTTCAAATTTGAAAATCGATTACTTAAAAAGAAAATTAGTTTCCTAATTTAAGTTTAAGGTAATTTGGGAAATTGTTTCCAAATGTGGGCCTCCTAAAATATGTGACTTAATTTATTTGGATGGTCCAAATTAATTGAGACAAAAGAGTTTGAGCCAATAGGCTTAATTTAAAGCTTACAAGATGTTTTGGTGAAAGGATAAACTTGAGTACCATTGGATAAGGCTTAGGGTTTCCAATAATAAGTTAGACAAAACCCATATAGCAACATCTTCTTGACTTACTAGTAGATGTTGCTACCCCCTACATAAATGAAGGAGAGAGAGGCGACATACAAGGTAGAAAAAGAAAAGAAAACACGAGCATAATGAAAATAAAAAAAGAGAAAAATGTTTTCTCTAAAAAAAAAAAAGCATTGCTATCGCACGTCTCCCTAAAAAGCCAATAGTTGGTAAAAAACCCCGAATTGATTTTTAGAGAAAAATTAAATACACGAAGGATTGAGGCTAGCATTCTGTGATTTTTATAGCTTCACTTATAGGTGTTTAAGCTACGAGGATTATCAATAGAGACTGGATACTTTGACGACTCCTTTCTATAAAGGTTAATTTTATGTTACAAGAGGTAAATACTTGCTTTAATTATTTATTCATGAATGTATGATTAGTTAAATCAACGGTATGATCTTAGGAGCCTTAGATGAGGGAATTTTTTTAATTTTATTTCGCACCTTCATAGGATGCAAGATCCTTCAATTGGTATCGAGCCTCCGTCGAATCTTTAATTTTATATTATGTTAATTATGATTAACTACTTGAATACTTATTTTTTGATTATAAATCCGAGTTTTTGGTGTTTTATAGTGATTTGAAAACTGATTTTGGGATAAGAAAAAGTGGGCGCGTGTGAGGCTAATGTTGGATGTCGGCGCTCCCGCACCCAAGCCAATAGGCAAGCCGGGCACGTGCCAAGTTAGGCATGTGCGGGGCAATCGTCGAGCCGAGCATGCGTTGGGCATGCGCCAAGCTAGGCTTGTGCCGAGCTCGCACCACGCTTGTGGGAAGGCGAGGCACATGCTAGCATGCTAATCGGTAGTTCTAGGTGGGCACGAGCATGCCGGACGGGGGGCCAAGCAATAGGTTAGGCAAGCACCGGCATGCTTAGGTGCCGAGCTAGTGTTAGGCTCTAGCTAAGGTCATTATAAGGCGTTGGCCATTGGCATATACTAGTGCACCGGGCTAGTGTTAAGCACTAGCTAGCTAGGCTCACGACCTTTGGGCCCTCGAGGCCCACAAGCCCATAGGCCCAAGTTGGACCCAAGGCCTAAAAGTTTTTTTAAAAATTAACATTTAGGAAATTTTGATGTTTTATAAAATGACCAATGCTATAGATTTATAATTATAATTAATATGAAATGTGTTTCATTTGAATGCTATGTATCAATGTGATTGAAACATAGGTGAATGATATGGATGAGTCGACCTAGTTTTTAGAAATGTATGTATGTAAATATTTTATTAAAGAGAGCCCATATGTCCTATTTTTTCAATCATTCGATGTATTTTTTTCTCCTTTTACTCCCATAGAATGTAACTCGATGTTTTTTATTCAAAGAAATATAAAAATAGAAGATAGAATATTAGAATGGATGTAAAAAGAAGAAGCCAAGAAGAGAAGACAATCTCGAAGAATTTGTAATAATTTTTTACCTAGGTATTTGACCCCTAGTCTCTTTGTGGCTCGAGAGGACTAGTAGTAAAAATCTATTATCATTTACCGATCTTTGAGTTATGTATGTAATTAAATTCTTATAAATATGATTGTGTAATTGATAATATGCATGATAGGATTAATGCGATTGATATCTAGTATGTATGCTATGGTTAAATTAATGAGACCACACAATGACAAATCCTTCAAATTAATATCAAGTTAATTGCCTTCTAATGTTATGAGGAGAGAACTCTCTTGGTCAATGTTGACTTATTGAGATAATTAACGGTCACTTCTTCTTCGAGGGAATCAAATCATGAGCCATGCGATGTCTCTTAACGTTTGGATCGACTTGAAATGAATTATTGGGTTTGTTAAGATAATATAAGATCCAATAAATTTGTAGGCGAGAGATTGGTATTCATATAAGATATGATATGACAAGGAGTTATTATACGAATGAGATTAGGAATTTCATTGGATATAATTGATAAGGAGTTGTTTACCTAATTGTTCATGTATGACTTGTTGAGATAACTCAAGGTTAATACATGTTAGAGGATAGGATTCTAACCCACTAAGAAAAATGAGTCGTAAAGTTTTCTTAAGTCCTATATTGATGGTCATAGAACTTGAAAAAAATATTAGAAACAAACATAGATTTTACTTAGTTTATGCTTTGTTATTATTAATTCAATTTAATTCACCAAACTCGTATGTTTTTCTATCTTGTCAAATTACACAATATAATTGGCAACACATTGATATGATTAATTATTGATGAAAGTAATGCCTTCGATGGTACAAACTTCCTTGATCGAAAAATGAATTCGAGGATAATCCTCCAACATGAGAAGATTTTCTATACAATAAAGACACCTCTCCTAATTGAGCCTCCTCAAGATGAAGTTGAAGCTGATGCGGTATGGGTCAAACATATGGATGATACAAACATTTCTCAAAGTATCAAACTAGCGAGTTATGACATTGGAGCATAGGTACCAACATAAAGGCATAAACACCTTTGATATTATAGCAAAGCTTAAGAGTTTATTTGAGGATAATACTAGACATGAGTGCTATGAGATAGCTAGAAAGCTCTTTAAAGCTAGAATAGATGAAGGATCTAACGTTAAGAAACATATCACTAAGATGACGGACTATCGATAGGCTAGTTAAGCTTGAAGTTGCAATGGATATAGAGTTATCCATTGATCCGGTATTACAATTGTTGCCTAATAGTTTTGGATAATTCATCATGAACTTTAACATAATCCATATACAAAAAACTCTTTGATCCATGCTAAGGGAAGCTCGGGTTGAGATTAATAAGAAGAACAAGAGTTTTGTACTTTTTATTAATAAGGGAACAAGTATGGTGAAGGGCAAGAAAAAGCCCAAGATCCAAAATAAGAATAAGTTTTCTACTTGTGCCTATTGAAGGGGTGAAAAAGGTCGAGGCTCGGAATAGCCTAAAGGATACGGTCCGCTTTTATTATAATAAGAAAGGGCATTATAAGCACGGATGCAAGGAATACCTATAAAAGGTGAAAAAGAAGATTTCTATAACCACCTAAGGCATTTATATTGTTAAAGCTAATTTTTACGTTTCTAGTCCCACCTCGTGGATATATCATACTATATATGATGCTCACATTTTTATAAATATGCAAAAGCTTATAAAAAGAAGGAAGATTGCTTCAAAGGAGGATGACCTACACATTATCAATGGATCAAAAGTTGGACATTAGTTGTAGGCACCTATGAGTTAGCACTACCATGTGGTCTTGTGCTTAGACTCAATAACTATTATTGCATTCCTACTATAGAGTAAGAATATTATTTTCACTTCTTATTTAGAATGAGATATTTTTCATTTTATTTAAGAATAATGGTTGTTCTTTTTAAAATGAATTGTTAAATAGAAAAATTTTGATTGAAAATAGTTTATATGTTGTTGAACATGATGAAACTCTCATATATAACATAATTGCTAAAAGACTCAAATGATCTAAATAGCATATATTTATAGCATTGTCGACTTGACTATATAAACAAGAATCATTTATCTAAAGTACTTATAAATGAATACTTAGAATCATTAGATGATATCTATGAATCTTGTTTAAGCGGCAAAATGGCAACAATCTCCTTTTAGTGGAAAATGAGAAAGGGCTACTAATTTAACTAGGCCTTATATATAAAGATGTATCCGAGCCCATGTCTATCCAAGCAAGAGAAGGACATGATTACTTCATAACCTTTATCGATGACGGATCATATTTTGGTTATGTACATTTAAATGAGACATAAATTTAAAGCATTTAAAAAGTTTAAAGAATTTAGATTTAAAGTCAAGAAATGAACTAGCAAAAGTACTAAGGCATTTTGATTAGATCGAGG